CCAATAATTCAATTTTTGATGAAATCAAACAAAGTTAAATTTTGGACCCTTTGGACCTCAATGTGGACCAATTTAAAAACGGGGCCCAAAATCCAAAAACTTAATACACGGTTAGATTCAGCATATTAAAGAACCCCAAGAATTCAAGAATAAAACCCCATTGAAATTGATCAAGAAATAAGCAATTTATACGAAGTATCTTCTTTTGCACAACACTGTGCAATTGAATATTTCTTGCTATTGCGCAATACTGTACAATTGACAATTTCTTGCTATTGCGCAATATTGTGCTATTGGATATTTCTTGCTATTGCGCAATACTGTGCAATTGAAGATTTCTTGCTATTGCGCAATACTGTGCAATTGAAGATTTCTTGCTATTGTGCAATACTGTGCAATTGAAAATTTCTTGCTATTGCACAATACTTATTATATAATAATTTACACATCCTGTTTGGTGTGTATCTCCTACCATATCATTATTATTTGCTTTTAAATATAAATCAGAAATAATCAACTTAAAATGGAAAATTTTAAAAGAAAAAAAAAAGGAAAAAAAGAAAAAAAAAAAAAAAAAAAATCTCCCCCCCCAAATTTTTTGAACCCCCTTATGATTCATCACCCCCAAACTCAATCCCAGCCTTCCCTTTGTGGTATGGTACCTTGCAGTACAATTTCAGAGAGATCCATACACTTGAACACAAGTTATTGTCTGGAAACTAGAAAAATGCTTATTTTTGGCCCCTTTTTGGCCCCCAATTCCTAAACGTTTCGGGCAATTACCCCCAAACTCAATTCCAGCTTTCCCTTTGTGATATGGAACCTTGTAGTACAATTTCAGAAATATCCAAACACTTACACACAAGTTATTGTCATGAAACTAGAAAAATGCTTGTTTTTTGCCCCTTTTTTGGCCCCTAATTCCTAAAATTTTGAGGCAATTACCCCCAAAATCAATTACAGCCTTCCCTTTGTGATATGGAACCTTGTGGTACAATGTCAGAGAGATCTATACACTTACACACAAGTTATTGTCTGAAAATTACAAAAATGCTTATTTTTGGCCCCTTTTTGGCCCCTAATTCCTTAACTGTTGGTACCATAATCCCCAAAATCAATCCCAACCTTCCTTTCGTGGTATTGAACCTTATGGTGAAATTTCATGGAGATCCATTCACTTAAACTAAAGTTAGAGTGCGAAAACCAATGTGTCTTCGGACGACGCCAGACGACGCCGGACGACGACGACGACGACGACGACAACGACGACGACGACGACGACGACGACGCCAATGTCATACCAATATACGACCAAAAAATTTTTAATTTTTGCGGTCGTATAAAAACATATGGTAACAGTTTGAATGAATGGATTGAGGACAAATTCTTTTTTTACAGTTTCTGTTTATCATGTTTATCTATTTTTAGTTTTCAAGTTAGATCATAATTGCATACTAAATCTATTCCCATTCAAGTAGATCTATTCATTCATATGTATACATGCTATATAAGGAATGATATTTTCTCTACTTAATCAAACTTACAATTATAACAATAAAATTAATATCAGATTTTCCACAAGAGCCTCTAATCCAACTACAGATAAGAAAAATCTCTTTCATAGATTTCAAATTTACTCTATGTTAAAGTCTGATAATATGAAAACCAAAATCGTTCATTTCACTGGAATCATGCCAATTTCTAGCACCTGTATAATGTACAAAAGCCTTAAAATAACTTAACAAGACAACATGTTTCTTTTACAAATTGGAACTAATATTTCAAAGATGAAACATTTGCGTAAACTATAAACATCACATAAATAACATTGTGTTTTAACAAAATGAAAATCAGGAATTAAAATAATTGTTTTATTATCTTTTTAGAGAAAATATTCTCTAGCTGTCTAAGGTTAGGAGAGGCTTGATGGCTCACAACCATGTTTAGCCCACCATATATTTTATGTGTTTGTCAAAAGTCAAAACTGTAGTCCAGTCTTGATCATTTGTTTCTATTTGCCACCATTTGTTTTGCCTTTAAAGTTGAAAGATTAAATCAGGCCATTACAGTTTTATTTTTATTTTAATTATTTCACATTTTGCCATGACAATTAAGACCTTTTATCTGCTTCTTTGGTTAAGCACTGTTAAAGTCCACACTATTTTGGTTAAGCCTCATTAAAGTTATTCATTGTTTTGGTCATAAGCACTATAGAAAAAAATTTAATCACATCAGCTACCTACCTACCTAATTTTCTTTAGATGTCTGGCCTTTAGGTCCTAAATGTTTCGAGTACAATTAATAAGTACTCAGACTCAGGTATTGACCAATCAAATTACTGGATTTCTGGTTTTGAGCTCTAATGCTCAGTACTCAAAGACCGAGTAAAATTTGATGACCAGAAGCCCAAAAATCTTGTATACATTTTGTTTGGTCTTATAAGATATAAGATGATCAAAAGGACAAGTGTCACTATATAAGTATAATTCAATTTTCATGCTGTAGATGTGACCCTTTTATTTCATAACATTTATAGATGAGTATATTAATCAATATTTTAGAGTAAATGATATAAATCATTCATTTCAGAGAAGGTGCATTGTAATAAATGTTATGGTCAGGAAGTAAGATATTAACATCTAATTCAAAGTACAAATGTTAAGATAAGAAAGATTAAATAAACATCTTTTATGCCTGAAAGTCAGCAATAAAAAAGATCCTGGGTTATCTGTTAATGTAAATTAGATGACTGAAAATCTAATAATAAATCCTCCCTCAACTTATATTTAACTCTATGATACAAACAAACTGTATAGCATATTGTTTATTTAGGAAGACTTCAACCTGCATGTTAATCTAGACAATTAGCCACACCAACATTTGTTTATCTTTGCTATGCAATTCATATCCATAAAATAAGATATTGTATAAAAGTTTGAAAGGAAACAGCAACCCAACAAGATAATAAAACTATCAAAACAAACATCAAAGGTAGAAATTAATGCAATTTTTAACAACAGAATATGCCTGGGGATATGTCAGCTCTAAATCTAAAGTCATAAGCTATTTAAAATTTTCAGGAAATAATTCTCTCTAGATTTTCCCTACATTTATTAACACAATTTTCTTTCAAAAAATATGAAAAAATATCAAGGATTTTGTTGGATTTTCAAAACTGGCTTTTTATACTATTTGTTATTAAATCATGAATAGAAAAGCTTTTTATACTATTTGTTATTAAATTATGAATAGAAAAGCTTTTTATACTATTTGTAATAAAATAATGAATAGAAAAGTTTTTTTATACTATATTTGTAATAAAATTATGAATAGAAATATAAGGGTTTACGGGCAAAATTTTTAATGGCATTTTTAATATGAATAAAACCAGAGGATTCACATTGGTCCAAAAAATATAGGTTCCCTTTGCTTTTCTTAACGTAAATTGTACTTATCTCCCTTGCCTATCAATTTTGCACTTAAAAACATGTGTCTCATCCTTAAGCGTTGAAAAGACATCTCGGTTCCGTTAGGGCTAATGATGATATATTATTTTGCCTTTTGTATAATGCAGAGTGCACGGTCTCTTATAATAAAAAATAACGGGTGCACATATCGACCAATCAGGATTAGCCATACTCTTAATTCTGAATACCATCTTCATAAAATGGCTGTGCCCATAAAATCTAATGGTTTATTGTAACTTAAAAGCTATTTTCTAAGTACTCATCCATCCCCCCCCCCTTTTTTTTTTTATCTTGATCCAACACTTTGTTTTATCTATTTCTTTGAATAACAAAGGTACAGGAAATGAACAGTTTTAAAATCAGTTATTAACCACTTTTAGGAATTTTTGGTCCTCAATGCTATTCAACTTCATACTTTAACTTTTTTTGATTCAAGCGTCACTGATGAGTCTTTTGTAGACAAAACGATGTCTCGCACAAATACAAAATTTCAATCCTGGTATCTATGATGAGTTTATTTAAATTATTAAAGCATGTAAGAAATTCTTAAATACATTTTCACTCAACAGACACAAGAAATCGAACAATATGTAATGCCAAAAAAGATAATGGTAGAGCAATCGATAGAATAAAACATGCCAGGCTTGAGAAATCTCTTCAAAGAAAATAAAAAAAATTGAAATCATGTGAAGGCTTTTTAGAATCAGTTGGAATAGCTGTTGGGTTCAGTTAAAGGCATGTAATATTAATAATAATATATATTGGGATAGTAAAGTTCAAAGGAATTTTTTACACACTAGTGCATAAAATTGTTATACTACAATCATATTAGTGGGGGGGTGTTGAATTGGAAAAAATTTCCCCTCCCCACATACATTTAATTTTGAAATGGACCTGAAGTAAACAAAGATTAAAGATAGATCAATTATCCTTTAAATAGTTTGCCAGACTGGAACCCTGTTGCACTCACCCACCTGATAAACAGTTATGACTATGAGTCACATACAATTCAATTAAAACACTGGAAGAACATTCCTCAAAATCAAACAAGTTGCCAAAGTTTCTTTGTTTACATTTGACTAAATATATCAGTTCTAATTAGCTTGATTAGCGCTAACAATGATAATTTTTTGCTTTGCTAAAAAATAGGTTAATTAACAATGATAACTAGGGATATGTTAATAAAAAGCATACACAAATAATTCATTACCTGACTATTCATTTTACCATGTTTACTGTATAGATATTTAGATTTAACTTTTAAATGCTTAAAAAAAAAGGAAGCTGAATAAAAGAAATATATTTTGTAACATCATTGTTTAAAATAATGAAAATTAACTACTGAATTTATTAGGAAATTCAATTTCAAACAAACCTTCATTTTTTCAACATCTGTTCAAACTTGGATCAAAAGTGGAATTATACTTTAATTTATTACAAAAAAGTGTTTACATACATTTGTAGAATATGAAAATATAATTAATTTAATGAAACTGATAACTTAATTTCATAAGTTCAATAGACAATACTTACTTTGAAAAGATTGTTGATAAACAAAGAAATTCCACAGCTGATTTCTGAGCACGCAGTTAGTCACATGTTGATGTTGTTGTTTTGAAATTTGATCTCTCATCTCAGCCAATCATATCAATAGATGCTAAAATAAGGGACTTTCTCAAACATTGCTTTAACATTCTCATTAGCACTGTATTCATTGTACTTGCACCTGGAAAACATGTATAATAATGGATTTATATAGCATTTATCATGCAGTTTAAACACCCATTTCAAGGGTGAATCAAAACACAAAATCATGCAGAAATTATCAACTCAACAGTATTTCTATTTGTATAAACATAAACAGTTGAGGTGCACTGAACACCATTCCTGAAAATAATCAGGGTAAAATACTGCTTAGTGCTATATTATCACCCTTATTATATAATTAACCAAAATACCCGGACATTTTTCATGCCAAATGGATTTAAAAAGACATTTCCTTATCAAAATACCACATCTATTTCTTAAATTAAACTAGGATACTAAATTGTGATGTGGTCAACCTGTTCACTTATATTGTCAGGAAATAGAAGTTCCTTCATATAATATAAGTTCCAAATGGAAAAAATATTCTGGAATATTATTTCCACGGGAATAAATATTACACGATATGTTCCTAACGGAATAAATGGTATGGAATATTTGTTCCAACAGGAACATATATTATGACATTGTTTATAACAAAGTTTCCAGTGGAACTTCTGTTAGGCGGAACAAATATACGTTGACAATATCATGCAGTACATATATCCTTTTTTGTGATTCCTTTTATCCCTCTTTATATATTAGCTTTTCTATATCTCAACTAAATCACTCTTATTACAAGTGTTTCTCTTAATAGCTATAAACATGAAACCCTATATTAAAATGGTTTAAATAGCTGTATGAGGCCCTCTTGTAAAAAGTTAAGTATTTTTAAAGGCTTTGATCTGAATAGATTAGTGTGAACTATAATGGAATGTATGAGTAAGAGTTACTTTTTTCAAAAAAAGATTTATATTATTATAATTATAAATCATATGCCAATGTTATGGTCGAACCAAAGTCAATTTTGGCAAACTCACTGGACTGACTATATTAACTAGAGATAACGCCAGAAGTAGGCCTAGTCAGCACCGCAATGTTTAGAACTATAAAAAAAAATCGGGAAATGCATTTTGGTGAATTTACTGACTAGACATGCCCACTAATTCGACCTTAACTAGGTAAGCGTTCCAAGGAGGCCTAAATAAATTTCTTGAAAAAACATTTTTTAGAAGGGAAATGAAAGAAATATAAGTTTGTTACATGAGTAAAAATTGGGGGAAAATATGTTGTTCTTGTTTAATATATTTTTGTCAAAAATGGTTAAGTTTTTTATTAAAGTTGAAATTGTTTGTCCTGAAAAAAAAATGATGCCCATGCATACACTTGCATCTTTCCATAATTCTGTAAAGAATTCTGACAGCACTACATCTTTCTGTTTGACAGGTACTTTTTTTATCCAAAATACTAATTTTATATATTTTATAAAATGTTTTATCAAAAAATTGTCACTCACCTTAATGAGTCCAAAAGACAATACAAACATGACAAAGTCTTTAAAAATTGCTAAGTTTTGTTTTATTTATAACTTGATTAAGGTAAACATAGCAAAATGTCTATTCAAATAAAACAACAACTGGCACACTTTGAAGTTCCTGTATCCTATTCCCCACCTGTGTACATGGTGTATTACTTAAGCAACATGAGCAAGTGATTTTATGATCACTTATTTTAGTGATTTGTAAATTTCAGTAATCACCTATTTAAGTGATTTTGATGTTTCCTTTGATCTTCAATACATATTTCATTAATTTGCCACTAAATGACAAATTTGTCTGTAATTTGCTTGCATAGATCATTTCAATAATCCCTTTTCTGATATATATTAATTTCAGGAGTCTGCAAGACCATTAAGTTCATGAAGCTAATGGGAATTAATTTGAAACAAATATTGGCTTACCACAAGGGTCAGTTCTATCACCTACCCTCGTCAACATTTATATAGCAGACATTATGGATAACACCTCGGGGCAAAACAGCAAATTCGCTGACCATGGCACACTGTGGCACAACGGACAATTAAGACCTAAAAAAACTCAAAGAAAAAACATCAAGAGACGTTAACACAGTTTTAAAATGGACTGAACAAAGGAGGATCAATGTCAACATGGGAAAATGCAAAGTATGTCTTTTCTCTAAAGAAGATCTAGATATAACACAAAAATTCTGACTGTCAACTCGTTCCACTTCAAATACAGCCCTACACCCAAACTACTTGGCACCCAAACTACTTGGCGTAACGTTGGATAAAAAATATCAACATGCACACTGATATAGTGCAGAAGAGAGCAAACAATGCATTAAATGCAATACAAGAAATAAAGGGTCTATGAAAAATATATATATAATGAGAACCACCAAGGAACCAGCTTAAAAAGACCAGTAGCTAGCAGAGGCTCCATACTCTTAGCTGAACTAGTAGCTATCCTTATGGTTTTGGAACACTGCATTTACACACTTAAGGACCAGTTCACTGAGGTAAAGATCCTATCAGATAGCCAGACAGCTGTTGGCATCCTGACCCTCAACTGGAAGTCAACTAACTACATTGACACTATCACAGACATTAAAGAAAGCATTGGGACTCTCCTGAGAGTCGGCATACAAACTATCCTATCTTGGATCCCAGGCCATGCTAATATAGCTTGGAACTAGATAGCGATCCTGTTAGCAAAAGATGCAGCACAGGAGGCCTCAAGTCTAAATGACCAGTACAATGTCATAACAATGTCAGATGTGAGAAGTGCAGTTAGGATGTCAACAAAACTTAAATGGCAAAATAGATGGACTAGAAGTGAAACTGGGAGACAACTATACGAATTAGTACCTACTGTTGGTAAGGCCCATCTACTTGATTATCCTAATCCAGTTAAAGGAAGAAATAAATACCGCCATCAGATAGGCCAATCCCTCATGCCATACTGTGAATGTGGTGAAGACGAAAGCACTGAACACTTCCTACTCAATTGTATGAGATATCATCAGGAAAGAGAAGAAATGAAAAGACAGCTGGAGATACAAAACATCCCAATAGATCTTCATACCTTACTAGCACCAGCAAAGAAAGAGACATACGAGAGAACAGCGGATGTTATAGAATATTTAAAGAGTTCACCGCGATTTCAAGATACACTTAGCCCGGAAGAATCCTGATCCTTCACCTAAACAAACTAACCCATGTACAGTGTGACATTACTCTGAGAAACTATAGTACAATGATGAAACAAATTTAGCAAGCACAAAAAGACTAGTTGTGTCAACATATATATTGACCTTAGGGTCAGGATCAGGATGTAACCCTTACTATAGTCATATAGTGGCCTAATATTTCAGCCTCTACCCAAAATATTGTTTTTTGGGGAAGGAGGAATTTTTCAAATTGACTCTTCATTTTCATCTGATGCTACGCATGTTTCACTTTTTTCACAGTGTTTTCCTGGATTTTGTGTTGCAGGTTGTTCATTAATTCCAATCCATCTTGGGCAAAATTATCTTTTTATTTTCAGCTCTTGAATACTAGCTGGCTAGGATATTTATTTTCAAAATCATCCCCCCTCCTAAAAATCAAATGGTCTTTGTCTGTCAATTCTGAAAATGGAACACATGGAGATATCCTTGATAAATATATATAATTGAGGCACTCCCACCCTTTGGCTTTGACAGATTTTTAATACCTGTGACCAGAAAAATCAAAATGCGTCGTTCATTTTATAATTAGTTGTTAATTTGTTAAAATCTAGTGTAAATTATTTTATGCATATTCAGGTTGTCGCATGTATGGTTGTCAATCTTGAATATTTACAAGTCAAAAACGTGAGACTGTTATGATATGATGGCGGGAAATCTACATTTGGGTTACCTCTATACTTTTCTAACGACGATATGACTTCGAATGTTGACAGACTGGACGTGTTGAAAAATCACATTACCCCTGCACACACCAAACATAAGCACTGCCAACAGGTAAAAACCCGTGTAGAATATCTTTGTTGAAAACAGATTGTAATTGATGCACTCAAATAGTTTACAATGTGATTAAGTTGTTATATAAACGAAAAAAACTAGTCACTACTTCCAAACCAGTGAAATTATCTCCCCTTGTATATTTATATTCAAGATAACATCATTCATGTCATTCATTTAAGTGACTGATCAAACAGAGCATTTATCCATTATTATGTATTCCAAGGCACATGTTGGAAGTACAGAGTTGTCTTTCTTTAATAATCACCTATTTAAGTAGTACAAATAAGTCACTAGACTAAGTGATTTAATTTTATTGTAGCTTTGAATATACAATACTAATGATCCAGGGACTAATTATGTTGTTAAAATTATCAGAACCAACATCTGTGTTTATAGGATGACCGGTCATGTCAGGTGATGACCTTGTACCAAATCTGGGATAATGACATGAAAATCATTTGTTTAAGTATCATACCTCTATTTTCTTCCAAAAAATCACTTCTTTAAGTAATATTATTTTAATTACCCCCACTAATTTCAACATCCCCGAACAGTAAAATTTTGATCATGAACAGTAAAATTTTATTACATAATCTGTAAGATGAAACCTTGAAATTTTACAGGAAAAATACTCCCACTGCTGAGAAAAATCTTTTAAGAAAGTATTAGTTCAATATGTAAAGCCTTATTTATAGCATTTTTTTCAACAAATATAGAATTTACAGCTGAATGATTGCATGAAAGGCATAAACCTTGCTACTTAAAAGAAGAAAAAGGTTCATTTTTTTCAATTTTACTGATCATGCTGATAATAAATATAATCTAAACCTGTATGTTTAAAATTTTGGTAAAACTACAAAATCATAGAATTTCTAATTTGCTACATAAATAGGTGATTTTATAAATCAATTATTTCAGTAATTCCCTTGACTGTTGATTATAAAAAAGAAAGATAACTCTAGTTACAAAAGAGAAAACATCATACATGTGATGGACTGTGAAACTCAGATCAGGAGATTGGGAAATTTTGGTCAGGAGATTAGGACTCAGATCAGGAGGTTTTTAACCGACATAAATTTTGTCGAAAATGTAACCGTGTGCTGTAGAAATTGTCTTTTAACATGTTTAAAGTGTTTTTTCTTCAACTTTCCGTCCGAATGTATTATGTTTATAGTACCCTTGTACTTATAAATTTTCTTTATCTTTATTCAACATGTTCAATTTATAATCCTTCCTTTTCTGAGTGTTCTTTAAATTTTATTTAATCATTATTCTTTGGAACAATCACTGCAATCAGATCATTTGTTTTACTATCTGCAAATAAATCATTTTTGCATGTTAAGAAACAAATTTAAACTGGAACAACAAATGGAAGTTTTTAACGACCTTGACTGGATATACATCCCTCGCACGGTCGGCTCGGTGCCCGAATGCGTTTGGTGAGCCTTTAAATAATTTTGTGCCATCGGTCAGGAACAGGTGGAGGACGCCATTTTGGTAGGCCGCCATCTTGGTTTTGTGAGTTGTTTTGGTTTTTCTTTTGTTGACTATTTTGATGTTATGTCTTCACAACGGCTGCTTTCAGGGCCAGATTGGTCAGCTTGGCAGCCCGCTAACCTCGATGATGGAGTACTGGTAGATGAGTCTCGGACGTAGTATTAACGATGACAGGAAGCATTATCAGGACCAAAGTCGTGAGACAGTGAAATGGCGGTCCATCATCTAACACCTAGGATACAGCCCTCGGACGTCACTCGGCATACCACTCCCCCATCCATAATGGGTTTTGGAGTGTATGTTGACGTGGGAATTTGCCCCTACGCGGATTATAGCCTAACATAGTCTGTACAGCGTTGGATTGGTTTCTGTCATCGAAAGTAGTAAGTCGTTGATCCATCTAACTGTAAACCCTCATCGAAGATAGCGGGTAAAGGAGAGCTGACCCAGCACGTCCGTTCAGTTGTAATGACTGAGACGTGAATGGTGAATGTATGAATGTTAAACTGGAACAACAACAAATGGAAGTTTTTAACGACCTTGACTGGCTATACAGCCCTTGCACGGTCGGCTCGGTGCCCGAAGGCATTTGGTGAGCGTTTAAATAATTTTGTGCCATCGGTCAGGAACAGGTGGTGGACGTCATTTTGGTAGGCCGCCATCTTGGTTTTGTGAGTTGTTTTGGTTTTTTCTTTTGTTGACTATTTTGATGTTAGTCTTCACAAAGGCTGCTTTCAGGGCCAGATTGGTCAGCTTGGCAGCCCGCTAACCTCTATGATGGAGTACTGGTAGATGAGTCTCGGACGTAGTATTAACGATGACAGGAAGCATTATCAGGACCAAAGTCGTGAGACAGTGAAATGGTGGTCAATCATCTAACACCTAGGATACAGCCCTCGGACGTCACTCGGCATACCACTCCCCCATCCATAATGGGTTTTGGAGTGTATGTTGACGCGGGAATTTGCCCTACGCGGATTATAGCCTAACGTAGTCTGTACAGCGTTGGATTGGTTTCTGTCATCGAAAGTAGTAAGTCGTTGATCCATCTAACTGTAAACCCTCATCGAAGATAGCGGGTAAAGGAGAGCTGACCCAGCACGTCCGTTCAGTTGTAATGACTGAGACGTGACTGAATGAATTGTTAAACTGGAACAAAGGGTCATAGTCATTATATTAATTTCAATTTAAGCCTTGAAAAGAAGTAAAGAACCCTCAAATAATTTTCAAATTAATATTTTTTTATTTGTCCTAAGACATTTAAAATCATTTAATTACTATCCTTTTATGATTATTTGTTCAATTGATATTTTATTTATATTCTTTTAAACATTTACATTATTTAAAGGAAAATAACTTAAAACAGGATAAATCAAGGGAAGTAACCCTTGATACACAAAGTCAAAGTTCTTATTACATAACGGCAGTTAGCCTGAGGTAAAAATCGTTGATTACCAGTATTTTTGACACCCAAGCTGACAAGTGAAGCCATATAATTATGCATGTTAATTGATTTACAGGTAAAATATAACTTCAGGTAATGTCAGTTACACCAGATGGCAGATATGTTGGGCTGAAATTTTTCATTCATGGGAGGTCAGGAGGAGACCCCTGAAAACGGGATTATTGTACTCCCGTCGGGAGGTTCACATGTATGAAACATGTGCTGTGTTCACACTTATTTATGTCAACACATGCACACTTTTAAATTGACATGATTGATGAAAATAATAAAATGTTGAAACAACTGAATTTCTGTGTTAAGAACCCTTCAATCCTGTTGGATTTCCCAGCACGTTTTGGACACTTACCTTGATATGTGTTCATGATACTGTTTATCAAACCTCATTATCTAGACTCTCTAATTACAGTCAGGAGTATAATACTCATACAAGTAATGTTAACTAAGTAAATTTGTCAAATTTATAAATTTCCTTTTCAAGGTTTGAATAATCCCCCTTTTTGCTTACCAAATATTTACCTAACAAGTATTTTTTTATACATCGGAAATTCTCAAGTTTTGGGAAGCCAAAACATGCCTCAAACATTTTTTCCTGGTTTGCTTACTATTCTTATTAGAAATCTACATTTCTTCTCAAGAACTACTAATCAAAGAAAGCGATTACACATAGATACAATGTTACGCTGCAGTAGACATTTAAAATTGCTGTTTAGAGACTTTAATAGTTTAAAATGGCAGTACATTCACGATGGATCAAATAACAGGCAACAGAGATTCGATTGTTTCTGAAACTATACATTATTGAACATGATGAATAGTGAAGACAACAGTTAGAGACGTACTTTTTTATCATGTTATTTGTAAAAAAAATTTTAAAAAAATAGAATAAGATTACTAAGACAGATAACTCTACCTTAAAATTGTTTTCCTGTACCAGTAAATAACAATTACTTGTATAAATATTTTCCCTTATTGTCTTGAGTGATTAAAAGCTGTCATTCGTTTGGGCCTTTGTTAAGTGTTGTTTGAGATTGACAGCAAACTTCTGTTCTTATGCAATATATCCTCATTTTCTGATGGCAATCTACATTTCCTACTGTTTGTTCTGGTAGACACAATTTACAGAGCCTTGAATTCCTATTAGATTTACTTTTTGTCCTGAAAATGCATGCAATATTTACCACTTGACATTAACCGAACAACAATCAATCATACACTGTATATGTTGTGTTCTTTTACAGGTTACAATGTCAGGTAGTGGGGTTCAGCCCCCTTTAACCACCCACATACTAGACACAGCAAGGGGAAAGCCAGCTGGAGCTGTACCAATGGTTTTGTCTATTCAGGAACAAAATGGAGACTGGAAACAATTAGAAACAGGGTAATCACGATTGTTCTATTGTTTATATAATCATTATACTAATAAAAGACAATAAATACGATACATTTAAATGAGAATGATTTTAATTAGCAACCAGACCCACCTACATTCCCAATTTATGTGGTAATTATATCCCCAAATGAGAGGTATTGACCTGATATTCAAAATCCTCCGTCATGTCCATTACCGTGATTATATAAAGTGAATACCTTAAAACAGGCACCCACAGCAATTAAAATGACATAAGAACATATATATATTTGTAGAAAATAACAGCATCTTTTTTCGATATTTGAATTCTTTGATTGGTTATTGTCCCCTGTGCAACGCGTTGCGGTGGGGGGGGGGGGGGGTCAAAGAAATAACGATCATCCGTCCATCCATCTGTCCGGTCTTGTTAGCGCTCTCACATGTACAATTCTTTGCAGTATAAAACTTATATCCTAGGTTTATATCAGCAGTGTCTCGAACAAGTTCGAAAATCAGTGCCGATGAACTATTTTTAAAAGAGTTATGCCCCTTGGAAACATTAATTTTATGGAAAATTACATTGTTAGTGCTCTCATGTGTACAATTCTTGCTAGACTTTTATGAAACTTATATTGTAGGTTTATATCAGCGATGTCTCCGAGAAGTTCCAAAATCAGTGCTGATCAATTATTTTTAAATGAGTTATGCCCCTTGGAAATATTAATTATATGGAAAATTGCCTTGTGAGTGCTCTCATCATGCTCATGAGTACAATTCTTGCTAGATTTTAATGAAATTTATATATAAGGTTTATATCAACAATGTCTTGGATGAGTTCGAAAATCTGTGCAGATCAATTATTTTTAAAAGAGTTATGCCCCTTTTAAATATTGATTATATGGAAAATTGCATCATTAGTGCTCTCATGTGTACAATTCTTGCCAGAATTTTATGAAACTTATGTCATAGGTTTATATCAGCAATGTCTTCGACACTTTCGAAAATAAGTGCTGATCATATATTTTTAACAAGTTATGCCCCTTAGAAATATTAATTTTATCTGAGATCACATTGAATTTGCTCTGAAACATTCATTTCTCTAAGATATTTCTGAACAATTTTAAAGAACAAACAAAAAGTGTATTTTTTAATTATTTCCCTTGTACCTTGGATAGATGAAATATGTGCAATGTGGGGGACATTGGAACTCTGTTCTTTTATTCTTTTTATTACATCGACAATGGGCTTTTTAATGGAAATAAAGTAGAAAATGCAAGGAACTATATCTTTTTCTAAGCATTCACAATTTGCTTTGATGCAACATCATCGACAAGGTCTTGACAACACCTATTGTTGTATGATGTGAGAGGAGTGAAATTATCGAGTTTATTTCACATGTGAAATTATTGGTGTTTATTTCTTTGAGAAATCATGGTAATTCTTTGCAACCAATGTAATAACGTCATGGCACTTTCTCATATATTGTTTAGTCTGTTATCAAAGTTTTGATCTTACATTCCATTAGTGTTAGCTTTGTAAACATGTCTGTGGTTAATTATACCCCATGCAACGAGTTGCGGAGGGTATAATGTTTTTGACCCGTCCATCCGTCCGTCCGTCCGTCAGTCTGTCAGTCCGTCAGTCCTGTTTCTTGTCATCGTAACTCCTCTCAAACCACACAACAGAATTTCACGAAACCTTTTCAGATAATAAGGACATACTATGTTGTTGTGCATATTGACAGGAAATTACGATTCAATTCTTTTTCTAGGAGTTACACCCCTTTGAACTTATTTACTTTAATGTACTACTGCAACAGTTTGTCATCGCAACTCCTCTCAAACCACACAACAGAATTTCATGAAACCTTTTCAGATAATAAGGACATACTACGTAGATGTGCATATCGACAGGAAATTAGGATTCAATTTTTTTTCCAGGAGTTACGCTCCTTTGAACTTATTTGCCCAATATACTACTGCAACCTTTTGTCATCGCAACTCCTCTCAAACCACACAACAGAATTTCATGAAACCTTTTCAGATAATAAGGACATACTACGTAGATGTGCATATCGACAGGAAATTACGATTCAATTTTTTTTCCAGGAGTTATGCCCCTTTGAACTTATTTGCCCAATATACTACTGCAACCTTTTGTCATCGCAACTCCTCTCAAACCACACAAGAGAATTTCATGAAACTGTGTAGATAATAAGGACATACTATGTAGATGTGCATATTGACAGGAAATTATGATTCAATTTTTTTTTCTGATACAATCTTTTTTTCTTACACTTATTTTATTTCTCCAATGACAATGTGGGGACGTGGGGTATGTGAGCGCGCTCATTAAGGTTATTTCATTTTTTTAGACATTAAAAACTGCATAACTCACAGTCTTGGGATTTTTTCAAACTTATACAGAATCTTCTTCATCATTCATGATCAAAAGTACAAAATTGTGAAAATATGCTGGTCTTTTTTTTCTTTCCTTTTTTCCTTATTTTACTGATAAATGGACTTTTGGAGATACAATCTGGGGTTAAGCTTTGCAGCTATTTGAATCCTTATTGTTACTTTGAGATTCAAAACAAAATTAAAAACTCTGATCCATTGTTTGGATTCTTTCAAATGCATGTAGGAATTTTATGCCATAAATTAACACACCATATCCTATCTTTTCTTACTATTTTACCCCCCATATGCACCCCATGTCCATTTGTAGTTACTGCAGGAATTTCTAATTTGATTTTATATGCTAATAAGAATATGTCTTCCATTTTCAGGACTACAAGTATAGATGGTAGAGGAGGATTTCTAACACAGTCTACTTTCCGCCCTGCTGTATATAAACTTTACTTTGACACAGGAGCCTATTTCAAAAAGAATAATTTAAAGGGATTCTATCCATATGTAGAGGTAAGGTTTTTTAAGGGAAGACAACTGATTTAGTTATGTCTAACTATGTAGATTTTTGTGCACCTATCATGACAGAGTGGATTATGGTATTTCGGTTTCTGATTGCCTGTCCACACTGTATTTGGGGTGTCCCATACTAACACATGGACTTGATTTTCAGCATTAACCAATTTCTTGTTGACCCGTCTGTCTGTCCGTCCATCAGTCTTGTTCTTGTCATCACAACTCTTCTGACACCACACAATAGAATTTCATTAAACTTTGTAGATAAGGACATACTATTATGATGTGCATATCAACAGGAAATTATGATTAAATATTTTTTTGTAGGAGTTATGCCCTTTGAACTTAGAATGTTGGCCTAAATATCTTGTCATTGCAACTCCTCTGAAACCACACAACAGAATTTCATGAAACTTTGTATGTAGATAATAAGGACATACTATTTAGATTTGAATATTGACAGGAAATTATGATTAAATTTTTTTTTCTAGGAGTTATGCCCTTTGAACTTCGAATCTTGGTGTAAAAATCTTGTCATTGCAACTCCTCTGAAACAGCATAACAGAATTTCATGAAACTTTGTAGATAATAAGGACATACTATTTATATGTGCATATTGACAGAAAATTATGACAGAAAATTATGAATAAATGTTTTTTCTAGGAGTTATGCCCTTTGAACTTCGAATTTTGGCCTAAATATATTGTCATTGCAACTCCTCTAAAACGACATAACAAAATTTCATGAAACTTTTTAGATGATAAGGACATACTATTCAGATGTGCATATTGACAGAAAATTATGATTAAATTTGTTTTTCTAGGAGTTATGCCCTTTGAACTTCGAATTTTGTCATAAATATCTTGTCATTGCAACTCCTCTGAAACAACATAACAAAATTTTATGAAACTTTTTAGATAATAAGGACATAATATATCTAGATGTGCATATCAACAGGGAATTATTACTCAATTTTTTTGTGAGTTTTGCCCCTTTGAACTGAAAATTTTGGCCCAAATATACCACTGCAACAGTTTGTCATTGCAACTCCGTTAAAACCACACAATATGATTTAATTATAACTTTGTATTTAATGAGAACTAAATATGTAGAAGTGCATATCCACAAGAAATTTGCATCTGCATCAGTTGACTTTTGTAGGAGTTATAAGTCTTTGAACTTTGAATTTGGAGAGATTTTGTTTGCCCAGTAACAATGTGGGGCGTGGGATATTTGAGCATGCTCACAAAGGTTCTTTTATTCATTTTATTATTGATTTTTATGTAGCACTTTGTTTTAATTTTCTATTTATGAAACTGAGAAAATTTCAGAACAATAATTTTTTCTGTTTTTACACCAGTACATATTCTTATGGTTAAAAAAATCTCATGAACATTGTATTTTATCAATATTTTAACACATGTAACAGGAAGTGTATAAATACTGTAAACCAACTAAATTTTGATAGGCAATTTTTGAGAGATAAAAAATATCAGTAAGGTTAATTTGTCAAACTTGGGCAGTCAAGGGTATAACATACATGTTGTTATTACAGATAATTTCATGAGTTGTCTTCTCTTTGTTTCTAAAATTTCTTCATCTGTAGTAACATATGTTTGTTATTTGTTAAATAATCATAAATATATTTGTTTTTTGTGAGCACTTGGGAATTCTTGAAACTTTGCACAGTAACTTAATACATAGCCTTGATAACTAATTTTCAAACTAAATTAATACATTTTTAATCAGCCATGGTAAATCAATGAGACAAGGATTTCAAGAGATTAAACTTAGCTGTAATAACAAGGCTTAGTTATTACAGGAGTGTAACTTATTATATGAGACTCTTGGGAATTACTTGGAAGCTTGCGCAGATCCTCATTACATGCTCTGATCATTATTTCTTACAATAAATTAAAATACATTGTGATTAAGCATGATATATGTCTGAGCAAAGGCTTTGAAGTGATGTAGAGAAGCTGTAATAACACCCTTTAGTTATTACAGGCATACTTTTTCTGTAATAACATAGGTGTACTATGCATGATTTCCAAATTATGAACTATTATATCTTTCTAAAGTTTAGTATACATAAAGACAATACTAATATCAATAGATCTTGTATACAATTTAACAAAACAAAGGATGTATATTGCCACTTTGAAACATGTAACATACATATGTTATCACAGTTTTTTTATATTTTAGCCCACAATTATTGACAATAACGACATGTCTGTTTTTTTTTCTAATAACTTATTTAAGTTATACCCTTGACTGTTGGGTCTTCTCTTATATGAATGCATACCAAATAGAAAATAGAAAAATTGAGGCTAAGTCAGATAGAAAAGACTGAACAAATGTTTTAAAAAATAAGTAGATTTACAGTACAGTAATATAAAAACTAATTAGTGAAATTTATGTTATGCAAAATTTCAAGACTTATAGTATTATTCTATTGCAGGTTGTTTTCCAGATAGAAGATGAGAAGCAACATTACCATGTTCCACTGTTACTTAGTCCTTATGGATATTCTACATACAGAGGGAGCTAATGAGATACAAATCTGTTATATCTAGACAATGACTATAGCTAGAAGATTAAGAGAATGAACTGGAAACCAGTCATACATGTTGATAAATTCTAAGATGATAGAAATGTGAAATTTTAAAAGATATTTAGGTTCCAATTCCCTGAGGGAAGTTAAAATTGATGATTTTGGCTTACTCATCATGAACCCTAAAGATTCTAGTTTTCTGTGTTTATTGCATAATGTGGGAAAAATTAATAAAGTCGCCATATTGTTTACAATTCTCTACGTAAATGTTCTTATATGGAGAGCTTAAGAAAACCCCATGATATCAATGGAAAGATTATATAAACAAAGCCTAAAAATTATCTAAAGCTATCTAGGGTCAACTTTACTTGAGCGGGTTTTGAATGTTATAAGTATTATTTTAGAATTTGTTGTTGCCTAGTACTTTATATTCCACTGGGAATATTTTTATCTTTGAAAATATAATTTTGTATGTAAACTTATTAAAAATGATTATTTTATTTGTGAGTTTGATTGTCATTTGTTTCAGCCGTCTCCTAAGTCCTTGGTACCAAAACAATATCAGCTTGTCAAATCAAATATTACAGGTTTTTGTCGAGCCTTCGACTTTTGTCGAAAAAGCGAGACATAGCGATCCTACATTCCGTCTGCATCGGCGGTGGAGTCCACAAATATTCACTCTGTGGTTAAAGTTTTTGAAATTTTAATAACTTTCTTAAACTATCCTGGATTTCTACCAAACTTGGACAGAAGCTTGTTTATGATCATAAGATTATATTCAAAAGTAAATTTTGTAAAAAAAAATACCATTTTTTCCGTATTTTACTGATAAATGGACTTAGTTTTTCTGCCAGGAAACATTACATTCACTCTGTGGTTAAAGTTTTTAAAATTTTAATAACTTTCTTAAACTATCCTGGATTTCTACCAAACTTGGACAGAAGCTTGTTTATGATCATAAGATTATATTCAAAAGCAAATTTTGTAAAAAAAAATTCCATTTTTTCCGTATTTTACTGATAAATGGACTTAGTTTTTCTCCCAGGAAACATTACATTCACTCTGTGGTTAAAGTTTTTGAAATTTTAATAACTTTCTTAAACTATCCTGGATTTCTACCAAACTTGGACAGAAGCTTGTTTATGATCATAAGATAGTATCCAGAAGTAAATTTTGTAAAAAAAAAAATCCATTTTTTCCGTATTTTACTTATAAATGGACTTAGTTTTTCTGCCAGTTAACATTACATTCACTTTGTGGTTAAAGTTTTTAAAATTTTAACAACTTTCTTAAACTATCCTGGATTTGTACCACACTTGGACAGAAGCTTGTTAATGATCAAAAGCTAGTATCTAGAAGGAAATTTTGATAAAATTTTGTTCCATTTTTTCCGTATTTTACTTATAAATGGACTTAGTTTTTCTTCCAGTCAACATTACATACAGTCTGCAGTTTAAGTTTTTAAAACATTTATTAGATTTATAAATTATCCTGGATTTTTACCAAACTTGGACAGAAGCTACTTACAATCAAAAGATAGTATAGAGAGGAATATTTGAATTTTTTTTTTTACTCATTTTTGTTGAGCCTGCGATTAACAGCAAAAGTAGGCGAGACACTGGGTTCCGCGGAACCCTTACGAATTTTTCTTGAACTTGTATTCATATTTGTATTCTGGTGAGCAAAAGTTCATTTACACTGTTAACATTTGACAAAAAACACATATGGAGAAATAGCTCACATTGTATATAGTCCAGGGAATCTGAGGTGAAAAGTGGCTCAACCTCAAACTAATTGCAACAGAAACAATTTATATCAATTTCACCTCATTGGATACCTGGTTGTGACATATTAAAAATCAGCATTTCATTGACAACGGGAAATTTGTGTTTTTGGGGTAAAATGGGGATTTTTATGTGAAAATCGCTAAAACCTGGAAAAATTGATTTTTTGAAAAGTTTTTTACTCAAAGTCCTTATTTTTTTCAGGAAACGTTTCATTCATATGTATCATCGTGATGAAATATTAAAAATGCATAACCATAAGTTTTTTTGGGAAAAAACACTGATTTTGAATAGAAAATCGCTGATAACTGGGAAAATTTATAAATCTAAAAAATCTTATAAGATTTCATTCTCGTGTTATATTAACATTAAGAATTTTAATCCCTCAAAGAATGAGCAGGCTTCAACAGAAAAATAGTACTCATTATTTTGACATATTAATGTAGTTTAAATCAAAAACACAGTCATAGAAGAGGGAGACCAAAACAATATTTCTAAATGTTAAAACTAAATGTCACTATCGTCCTCATCCTCATGAATCTCAAGTATTTTACAGTTTGAACAGTTCAATCCCTTACATTCGCTACATGCTGAGCTGCATTCAAGGCCCTTTTTTCTACAAGTGCATCTGCGTGTATCGCAACCGGATTTACATTTACACCTTATCACATGCAATAACTTCTCTGGAGCAGGAGGCAAAATCGTTCTAATTGGACAAAGTGATGTACCTTGTAGAACCCATCCCCAGTCTGATGGATTAAACATATGGACTGAGTCATTTGTCCATTCTTGGATCTGATAATATGCACGCTTACAGTGTTGAGACGCTGCTTCTGAAGTAGGTGGCAAGGACTGGACATGTACGCAAGACAAAGAATTGGTAAGAACTTTATGATTAAATTTTCTGTAGCGTAACTGGTCTAAGCTTTCTCCGGTCTCACCTCCGTATAATATAACGAGAGCTGACTGTCCTGATTGTATTATATCATCTGAAGTTGCATCTTGTTTTAAAAATACTGAAGCTAACTCTCTGAAAATGACAAAGCATATTGATGAAGTTTTGCTTGTTTTCTCCATTAGCTAAGAAAATTTCCTTCTTTGATTTAAACGGTGTGCTATCTTTAAACGAGATATGTGTACCAGTCACCCCTTTCGATCTCCGTTCATGTACATGATCTTTTTTCGTTGGTCCCGACGCATACCCATCAAAGACGATTATTGGAATGGGATATCTGTTATTAATATGGTCGATGTATGACTGACATATTTCTGCAAATATCGCATCTTTTTTCCATGGGATTCGCTGTATCAGGGAACCACCGTCGATTACGTGATGAACATCGGTACCATGGTACTCTGAAAATACACAACTTCCCGTGTTCCATATTTCATCTGCTAATGTTGGTTTCTGTGCCTGTCGCATCAACCCAGACGGTGCAAACAGAGCAGCTGGTACAGCACTTAGCTCGTACTTAAAGACTTCGGATACATCTGGAAACATGGTATTTGCAGTAGTAACTAGTCGTTGAAACAACAATTGCGGATCGACATATATTTCTTCATTATCTACTTTGATATTAAATTTTGAAGATAGAGTTGTAACTTGGTTTTTCCTTATGAATACAAACTCGTCAATATATTTACCTTCAATTGACGATATAATATTGTGTCCTATGACCAGTGCGTTGTCCGAATTTACATTGCTGTCGCCAGTTGCTCCTGTTTCGATGTTCCGGAGTTCTTTATCTATTGAAAATGGATTTCTCTCCTCAAGAAAGTCAAGAAATGTTGTTGTATCTTTGTTATCCCGTTCTTTTCTTGGAATGCACATTTCTTTGTGCTGTTCGCTAGTTTCAAAATTAACATCAGTTATTTGTTGCATTGCCTCGTTCATCTGGATACACTGTGGCATAGACAAAATCCATAATGTTCTCTGAGCATCCGTTATCCCTCGACCTCTTGTGAGACCTCCAGTGGTTTTAATGCATCTCATCAGAACCTGCTCGATGACCAGATCCGATGATAAACCTGACCAGAACCGATCACTTCTTCTCATCACATGAAAGCCTGACATGAGAGCTTCATTAATGACAGGATTTGCTGCAGGTATACATACCCTGATTTGAGATATAGGTTATGTCCAGGAGCAGCAAAGTACGGTAACATCTCTTTAATGATTTGAAGATGAATGGTCCAGTTTCCAGTTCTTTCAGCTTTAATGAATTTCCGCAGCAAGTCCACCATATCCATATATAAAAACCATAGTCGAGCTGTCCGGTATTCGATATGTGATTTTCTAAAAGTTGATATACTGTCGCGTATTTTTCTCAATATCTCATTTTGATCAAGGGTGTCTACTGGAACACGTCGTTCGAGGATTTCATCAAAAACATAACTCAGTTCATTTAAATCCTTGGGAAAAGTGTTTTCACCGTGATTTTCAGAGTCTTCAATATCAGTTTCACTTATCATGTCACCTGAAGTTTCTTCAAGAAATGAAACATGTTCTCCATTTTCAATGTCATTATCTTTCAAGACAGCGGAAGATACCTGAAACTGTTCGCACATCAATAATGAGGTTAAAGCATTATAAATTAGGAAATGACCGCGTACTGCTCTTGCAACTGACTTTCCGGTTAACATATGCGAAACAGCGTTAGGTGCGTAGACAGTTTCCATGAGCTCAGCTAGTCCAGATCCGCTCATAATGTTACCAATCAATCCAAGGAAGCTCATTTCTAGGTGAAAACATCCTAATCTGAGAACTATTGATTTCAAATCGCTTTCCTTTGGTTCATTGTCGATAATTGTAAGTGCTTTCCAATAAAGCGGTTGATCAAATGTAAGCATTGGATTAGCTCTGTACTTAAACGCTTCATTACATACGAACTTCATGTTCGAAAAGATACATGAAAGGTTTCCCGGCTCAATGTCTATCATAGGCAAAAATACAATTGTCGATTTACCAGGGTATGCTCCATCTTGCACTAAATTATACAATGCCGACCACCCAATCTTTTTCTTTGGCCAAAGAGTACTACAGAGAAGACTGATGTTATCGTGTAACGAATCCGAATGTTGTGCTGCAAGTGATTCGAATTTTAAACTAAGCTTTGATGTTCGGTCAAAGTTGTACTGATGGGGATCGATTTTCCCTATTTGTTTAATATCGTCAAGCGAAACATTAAATCTCTGCACAATAGTTTTGTGGTTATAACCAGGTGTGATGCCTGCTATTATCCCCATTCCATGGAATGTCCCATGACCGTCAAGTGTTCTGATATTATGGTCGACATTATCTGCCACGTGTTGAATAAATCGTCCTTCAAGTTCTTGAGGAGAATCATTACCCTGGAGAGCAGAATTCACGCCGTGTTTTTGAACTTCCTTATAAGATGACGAAAAGCCAAGTTGGTATAAGGTATCGAGGAGGAATTTTGACCCAAAATGGTGATGCATTTGAACTCCTAGACCTAGCTGTAAAGGAGCAATCAGAGATCTTGGTCTTGTTGCTTGCATGATAGACTGGACAATGGCTGCCACTTTAAGATCGCAATCTTTTTCAGAAAATATTCCACTAAGTAACTGTTTAAGACTGTCAGGTAAGTATGCGATGTTTTCCTCACAAGATGCTATTGTAGCTGGTGATGAATACACCGACCTTGAAAATTCCATTGATTTGATATCAGATTTGATAAGTTTAGCTGCTGTTTTGA